ATGCACTTTGGAGTCACATCATCCTGGCACTCAGCTTTAGTCTTGTCTGGTGGTGGGCCAGTAATGTACCATACACTGTGTGAGAGGCAGCGTACAAAAAAAAGAAAATTGCCAGGGCTCATACAAAATTTCTTCTACCAAAAACTCTTTCTCCTAGCAGTTTTTATGAGGTTTAATTTTTAACTGTGAGAGGGGGAATCTCTATGAATAACTCCACATTAGGTGAAACACGTTCGAGAGGGGTGGTCCTAGGCAAGGATCCAGTGTGCCATGCTAAAGTGGAAAATACTCATGTCATCGGGGTGTGACCTCCTGCTTTTCTCCTGTGAGTGGGTTGCTGTATAATCTCAGGACTGGATGGGCAGGAAAAGATATCCTTTGGCAGGTAAAATGTCTTGAGTTTAGATAAGGGTTCATCCTCATCAGATGAAGTTGAAAATGCAGTATTCATGTTATGACTTTTTCCAGCAAAACATAAAGCATTGGTGGGAATAAGTCCTATTGAAACAATAATTTCTTTGGTTGGAAAATGCAGCAGAATGAGAAAGAGACCTACGTTTTCCTATCATTAAATATGCTCATTTAAAAAGTGATTTTAAAACCAAAACTTTTTTTTTGCTTTGGATAGAATGTGAAATGGTTAGACCATCTGCCAGGTTTTTATTGTTAGTGCATACAGGGGATGAGAGCACTGCATGGTTTGGATAAGTCCAGCAAGAGATTATTGCTCACAGTAAGTAGTAAAACAGCCAACACGCTTCAGGGGCTCACTGCTCCCCCTTTTCCAGGGCCAATAATCCCAGGTGCTGTAATCCACTACGAACCCCTCAGGAATCAGGGTAAAGAAGATGAAGGAAAGTGTAATTTTGGTGAAAATGTGACCGACTTCTTATTGTTGTTTGGGTTCTAGTGGGATAGATTCATCCTCTCTATTTATATTGATGATCATTGTCTCCAGTATAGGAAGTAATAGGAAATCCAAAAATCCCCAAAACAAAAGGTGAGGGGAAATCTTACAATGGGGAAACCTAATCTGGGAACAACTGCCTAAGAGGGTCTCCTTGCATTAAAGAGATCTACTTTTACTTCCTGCTATCTAATCTCCAGAATACAATACAGGCAGAAAAAAACCCAACAGGGGTCTTAAACGTTATCTGTCCAACATGTTATATCCCTTTAAAGCTTTAGAGGGTAGCTTTATAATTGGCTAAAAGGTGTACATTTTACTCTAGCCCGGGGAATCTGTGTAATTTGGGAGTCATTTAACAAAACAATCATTTTCCTTACCCTGATTATTGAAATAAACATGTTTACCGAGAAAGCACATAATTTTCTCACTAAATTTCAAAAACAAAGGTACTGAAACAGCATTTCAATAACACCAACTGTAACAATTGTGTTATTTGTCGATGTGATAATTTAGGTACAGTTTTTTTAAGCACAGGTGCTGCCAGATTTAAAAAAAAACATATAAAACAAAGCAGAAATGAACCTAAAGTAAATTATCGCAACAGAAAAAAAAAGCATCACATAGTATACTTTTCACAAGTATGGAGAACGAAATATCAATGAACTGAAATATGACATGAATTTATACACTTAACTGTTAACCTTCAAGAGAAGGAGGAGCCAACCCCTGGACCTAACTCTTAACTTGCCCCAACTTCTTAGTCTGTCCATAAACCTGAACATAACCCTAAAGTTGAAGCCCAACTCCGGACCAAAACTTACATTTTTTTTTACTTTTGGATATCGCAGAACGTGTTACTGTATAACTTCTGTCAGGTTGTAAATGCTTCTGTTTCTACTTTGAGGAAAATTCTCTCTCAGACTTTATATGTTATTTTTTGTAGATATTTATTTTCTCTTCCTGTTTTGTCTGACATCTATCACCTGTGCAGGAAATCTCTCTTATGTGAACGCAAAGCAATAGAATCCTAACAGCAGTACTAAACCTTCCTGACTTTACTAGGAAATGTGTTTTTATTACTTTCTGTGTCCCATTGGGTGGATTCCCCTTACTTCCTGTTCTGCATGATAGTCATCAAATACACAATGCAGACAGCAAAAGCATACTAACAGAGGTTTTGATCATTTCCGACTCTAAGTTATGTCTGGAGGTGGGCTTTAATCATAAACTTTTTACTTAGCCCAAACTTTATTATAAGCCTTACACCTAATCCTTAACTTAATTCAGCCTTACCCATAAATGGAAGGCTTACAACATACGTCCAGCAAAACACAATTTTTTTGTTTAGTTGTTTGTTTTTTAGTTTTGGATAAAGTGGGGAAGGAATAAAATCGCTGTCGGGTTTTGCACTGCTATTCACATGTCCATTTGTCCTCACTTCCTGCGCTGCTGTCAATGGTTTCACCAGACAGGAAGTAAGAGAAAATCTGCAACAGGAAAACAGGCCTAAATAAAAATCTTACTGGGGTTCTAGCCTTCCCCTACTTCCCTTTGCTTTTGGAGAGTTTCCCTGGCTTCCTGTCTGGTTAAACATCAACAAAACAAAAAGTTAGGGTAAATCTCTTTAATGGAGCTCAAAACTGCAGTAAGAACATGACAGGCATTCCATACCATCCGTACTCTAGCCAAAACCAAATGAAACATATTTTGGCTGGACATACGCTTTAAAGTTCATTTTACCCCCTTATCATAAAGCCTTCACAACAAAAGAGGGTTATCACACTAATAATACAAATAGCACAGCAATAACAACCAGGCAATGGAACCAAAGTTTAATAGAGCCAAAATGCACAACACCATCATTTAGTGACAAAAACTCTGTGCTCAAAAATAGTGCGTCAAATACTAACATTCTGCAATCCTGTATTAAGACACTTGGTACTGTTTTACGGAATTCTTCAAGAACTTAAATGAAAATCCTGGTCATAGTTTATCTTTCAGTTTAACCCCATTGTTAAAGAAGATCCCCAGTCAAATGTTATATTTAATTTACCTTGGTGGTAGGAAATTTGAAGCATATCTAAACCTAAAACCAAACATTTTATATATCGCAGCTGACCTATCCTTAAATGTGGTGGCTGCATTAAATTTTTTTTTTTAAGTCTATATTTCCTTTTTTTTCACCTTGAGATTCTGCTAATACCACACTTCCTGTCCAGGATGTGTCCACTCTATGGAGGAGAAATGGACCCACCAGCGGACAGCAGCATTGTCACCCTGTGGAGAGAGTAGTGTTAGATGGACTAGTACAGATGTGGGCAACTCCGGCCCTCTAATTGTTGTGCCATGAGGCATTGCAAGACTGACAGTTACAGGCATGACTCCCAGAGATTTGTAGTTTAAGCACAGCTGGAGGGCCAGAGTTGCCCACCCATGGACTAGTAGATGTAGATGAACTTGACAAATTAAATCTTAACTCCAGCCAATACTTTTTAAACAGTTGCAGCAACAGGATCTTTTTTTCCATTTGGGATAAATGTTTTACGTACATTAATAAAACCTAACCATTTTTTCACTGCGAATGTTGAATGGCTTTTCTCAACCCTCTAACTGCCACTTTTGCTGGACCGCTGGGCCTGTTAAAGGAAGTTGAGAACAAGTGAAAATAAAGGGGAAAAAAAGAAAAGTGTTGCAGCCTCCACATCTAAGGATTGGTAAGCTGCAAATTATTAAATTTTTGCTTTTGGGTTTAGATACACATTAAGGATCTTGCTGCCTGACAGAAAACCAGCTTACCCTGATAAAAATGATATAAGAAACCCAAGCAAACTCTGCCTTAATGCTTCTGCAGTTCTGATTAGCAGCACATTGGCTGCACTGATACACATTTGATGGTTTGCCATGGGTCAGACTGCGCAACAGACAGGTGCCGATTTGAATCGTGTTGTGTCTTTAGCGTCACCAGCTATCTTGTTTGCTACTCCGTAGACAGAAGACACAATTGCAACTAGGTTGCCCACTGAATGTAAGCAATTCTCTGCTGACAAGGAGCACCTTGTAAAAGAAAGACTATGATTTAAGTACAGGTACTTTTCTTTCTTTGTTTCAATAATGAAAAAATACATTTGGCTGGATTACTTCTTTAAATTTTTTTTTTTTAATTTATACTATCTGCATGTTACCCTTGTGATGTAATTGTACTATAATGTGGTAGGGTATATTGGTAAAACATTTCTGCAACCATTTTATCAAATAGAAGTATTAGGGTCTGTTCACACCAGCAGCAAGCGCTACTGCACAGCCATAGTCAATAAAGTTTGTTCAAAATGTATTAAAATATCACAAAGTGACATTAAATTGAGTTCTATACATTGGAGCACATTGCAATGCTCTGTAGTGCATTGCCACAAGCTGCAGTGAAAAAAGTATAGCATGTAGCACTTTTTTTCAGTACACACCACCACAACGCGTTGACTTAATGGTGGACAGGGCAAATTGACTTGACTATGGGTTAGGAATGGGCTTTCACATCCCAATGCATCTGTTGTGACCAGGCCCTTATACCAAGCAGGCCAGCATGTAGGTTTCTTGACAAATCAGGTTTAAAATGACCAAGCATGAGAGAAGGAACATTATTAGAGTTAACAAATGATTGTGTCTACAGTACTTTTACCCAGCCTACCTAAAATAGCAAATTGTTTCACAGCAAAGCGTATTTTGGGAAAACTGTACAACCAAACCTCTGTGCTTCTTGTGGTTAATAATAAATGTACAAAACAATATAAGAAAAAAATAACCCTGTTACTCTTCTTGTTCCTGTAACATTGCTGGGTTGTGGTTGAAGAAAAGGCACCTAATAGTAAAGTGCTTTCTATAGCATCACTGTCAGATTAGTTTATATCAAATATTATTCCATCAACATGGCTGTAGTGCATTGTGACTACGGCACATTTAAAAATTCATACTGAATGTTGTTCAATCTTTATGCTGTTCACCCTGGAGATTGGGATAAGATAGTATGTGGTTCTCTTAGGCCTTATGACACCCAAGAGATACCCTGTTTATCTAATGCTGTGTTCAGGTCCTGACTTTATGATAGGTAATACATTCCATATGTGACCGGTGTGGTGAACAATCCTGGAACAGGCATCGGTGGTCTCTGGAAAGAATTAGGAGGTCCATAAGCTGAAGTGGACCCTAAATGGGCACTTAAAGGAAATGGGAGAGCAAAGGATGGTAACAGTGGCTTGGCGGCCATTTTTAGCTTCTCCAGTTCAGCCTCTTGAAGCCTCTTTGCTTTGGCTCTTCTGTTTTGAAACCAGATCTTTACTTGTGTCTCTGTGAGGTTCAAAGAGCTTGAAAATTCAGCCCTTTCAGCAATGGAAAGGTATTGCTTCTGTCTAAATTTCCTTTCTAAGGCCAACAGCTGAGATGTGGTGAATGGAGTTCTTGGTTTCCGGTTATTCTTGTGCTTCCTCAAAGTGCATGGCGGTGGGCTTGGCTGTCCTGTGGAGAGGCAGAAAATAAAAAAATTGAAGGTTTTTGTACTGTGCATTTACTGTATATGTTAGTTCCATTAATGAAGCTCATATTAGTGATTCAGTCAATTATAAACACAGAACATATTTAACGTTTTTTGCTGATTGTATGCATATATAAGGCCTCAAGGAAGTAGGTCTACTTTTGTGGGCTGCATATACTGTATGTATACAAGTGTTTGTGCTGGGAGCACGCTCAATCATACACCCCTAGCACAGAGACCAAGCTGTCACCAACAGCTCCTCATGAGCGGGAGCCAAGGGGACTGGCTCCCAATTATGTGATCAATGTGATAGCCAATCATAATGTTCACTCTGTAAAGAAGCTTCTCCTGTACTGTTTCTGTGAGTAAAAAAATGCATTCAGGGGAACTTATCAAAACTGAAGCAGACAAAATATGGAGTAGCTGTGCATTGCAACCAAGTAGCTTCTACCTTTCATTTTCAAAACTTAAGCTGGCCATACACCTATAGATTTTCTGCAGACCTTCTATGGTAATATGGAAAAAGTACAACAGATTCCATCATCTACGTTAAACTGTGTGTATGTGGGAATCTCCCACTGGGCCAAGCTTCAATATCTTGCTAGTCGGCCCCGCTGGCTCTCCACACACCGGAACAATGCCTGCATCCAATCAGATTGTTCAGGTATTTTGACACCTGTTTAATACTGTTTATGATACATGGTGATGGCTATGAAAACTATTTCATGCAGTTTCAGAAAACTCCAAATGTTGTGATAGGAGTAGCTTTTCATCCATTTTTATTGAAGTTTAATGGGTTATAGTGATAGACCACCAGTTTGAGGTTCAAGCCTATTTCCGGGCAAAAAAACTATCCTTTAAGTAAGGCGCCGGCAGTCAAAGGAATGCTGACGATATCATGTCTTATGCAGGTCGATTGATCTGTACTGGTCTTGAGAATGGTGAGAGACATTCTACCAGCCAGAGTGGAGGGGGTGAAGAGGTGAGCGCTGACCACTAGGGGAGCAGGGACCCGTTAAGTAAATCTGCTTTACTGCAGCCCCTAGGCACTTAACCCTTGCAGTGCATGGGTAGTTTTACTGCAAGTATAGATTTTTGGTTTGCCTGGAGATGGGCTTTGATACTATTGTAAAAGTTTTATTACCTTTTGAAGAACTTTGAAATACGAAATAATAACAATCCAAAAATAGGATCATTGCAAATACATTATACTTTCTCCTCAGCAATAATTTCATTTTCTCGGCTTTTAGTGTTGATTGCACTGCAATAAGTGAATGCTTACACAAGTGTATGTCAGGCAAAAACATTTTTCTAGTTTTGGAGAGAGGGAGGTAGGATTTTCTGGTTTTTACTGCTATGCATGGCTCATGGCTATGCATGAAAACTACAGTACCCCAAATTGTCCATAGGCGACGCTTGCTTGTACAGGTCATCACTTTAGAGTTTACTGTGAATATTGGCCTTAGAATTATTGCTCCCACACTGGCGCACTCGGCGATACCTAACATGTGTGACACAATCATAGTTTTTCATACGTAGGCAAACCAGACACATCTTTACATTAGTATGTGCGTGTACGCAGGAATGTGAGACCTTGAAATAAAATTACATTACATTAATTTTATTTAATTTTATTTTTTGGAAACTTTTTTTCTAACAATTCCTTTATGTGATAGCACTTTAGTGCTGTTTAAAGAGACATTAGCAGTCTATATGACTCCTAATGTCACCTTTGCAGCCGACTGAAGCTGATCAAGCTAGAGAAGCCGGGGAATGACAGCTCAGATACTGAAAAGCTCCTGGAATCGCTTCCAGTCTAAAACTGACAGTCAGCTTCATACAGGTAAACATACTCCTGGTGGCTACAGTCTGTTTATAGGTATGACATACGTTGATGGCAGCGAAAGTTGTAAAGTAATAAAAACCTGGCAGGGGTTCTAAAACTCCCCCATTCAATCCAAATACTAAGGGGTCTATTCACTAAGCTGCCGTAGGCAGCCAAGTGAATAACCGACCCGAAGTGAAGTGAGCCGAACGCTGTTCGGTCATTCACTTCAGGATTTCAGCCGTATATCGGCTTGCTTCGTGTGGCTTCGGGTTGGCCGAACATGCTCAGCATGTTCAGCTTATCCGAAGTGCAGAAGGAGTTCGACTCAGCCGATCCAACATCTGAATTGGCTAAGCCTTACCTCCGGCAGGCTACTCGCTGCTGTTCGGCCTATTCTCATAGATGCCGAACAGCAGTGATTGAATAGCTCGGCTATTCTGCTCGGTACTCTATTCTGCTCGGCTCACTTCAGGCTAGTACGACTGATTTCAGCCGTAAACCGACTAAAACTATCCAACATCTGGATCGGCTGAGCCGAACCTCCGGCAGGCTACTCGCTGCTGTTAGGTCTATTCTCATAGATGCCGAACAGCAGTGAGTGAATAGCTTGGTATCTCTGTGGTACCAAGCAGAATAGAAAAACTGTTAAAAAAGTAGAAAAAATAAAATAGAAATCTTTGGGTGGAGCTTGCAGTGATAGCTAGCTCCGCCCAACTGTTTTCTATTGGCCGGGCGGTTCTGCTGTCGTCAGAATAAAAAATAAATAAAACCACCATAGGAATGCATAGCTAGATTCCTATTGGCTATTTCACTTTGCAATAGCTAGTAGCAAACTGGCTATTGCACCTGCCCTCTGCTGCTGTCAATCACCAGAAGGGGACCTGATGGAGAACTGCAGGCCCCCCTCTGCTGATTGACAGCAGCAGTGGGCAGGTGCAATAGCTAGTTTTGCTACTAGCTATTGCAAAGTGAAATAGCCAATAGGAATCTAGCTATGCATTCCTATGCTGGCTTTTTTTTCTGACTAAGGGCAGCCAGCGGCCCCATGTCAGAAAAAAACAACAGATTGCAAGGAAAGGTTTACTCTGCACAATCGAGCAGAGTAAACCTTTCTGGGAGAAAGTGTTTCTCTCCTGGGCGGCCAGGAGCCGTATTAGACTCCCAGAGCGTCCTGGAGAGTAATGACAGAGCAGCGTCCCTGGTTTGCCAGGTAACCAGGGATGTCATCTGTCATTACACACTGAGAACCCGGAGAGGCCGTGTTGATATTCCGGGCCGGGTTCTCAATGTGTAATGACAGATGGCGTCCCTGATTACCTGGTAACCAGGGACGCTGATCACTCTGCAAGTGGCCGGAGCCAGCCGTGAGATGGCGGCTGGCTCCGCCCAGCTGTCAGAAGCAGGTTGTCGGCCGGCCAATGGCGGGCCATTCGGCCAGCTTCGGCTTTCCCCTCGGCTCAGTGGAGCCGAGGCATATGCCTTCAGTTCGACTGAACCGCCCAGCCAACTTCGGGAGCTGTACAGGCTATAGTGAATAGCCTGTACAGCAGCCCTTCGGTTCTCTACTGAACCGTAGGGGTCCTGGGGACGAAGCTGGCAGAAGGATCAGCCGAAGCTATGGCTAGATCCTTCGGCAGCTTAGTGAATAGACTCCTTTGTTTTAAGAAAATACAATTATATTTAATATATGCAAAGTCCATTATAACTACAGCACATTACAAACAGAATTGTGGAAGATTTTACTGCAATCCCCCAACATAATTTCATGTTCTTATTTTTTCCCTACATAAAATACAGTACTTACAGCTCAAAGTTTTTATGTGAGTTTCGTATCAATTACACACTATTGACTCTACATTGAATCCTACGGGTTTAATCCGATAATGCTTTTTGAAATATGACCAGCAGTCTTAGAAGGACCATTAAGGGGGCTTTTGGATAAGCCAGCCTCCTTAGGGGGCACACAGCAACCATAGTGTCAGTGTCAGGCCCGGATTCCGCACAAGGCCACTGAGGCCCGGCCTCGGGGCGGCAGGGCGCAGAGGGGCAGCAGCGGTGTCCTTGTGGGGAAGTTGCCCTCTCTACATTTAGTCCTGCTTTGCACAAGCAGGACTAAATGTAGAGTGAGGCAGCCGATTTTTCGTTTACATGTGAACTCTTCGATGTCGCCGAGATCACATGTAAACAGTGTGCAGCCTCCTCCCCTCCCCCCTGCACTTATCTCTCTCCTCTGGTTCCGGGCTCCGCCGCCGAGTCTCTCACTGCAGTGAGCAGGCAGGGTTACTTTTACCCCTGTCGCTCCGTGTAGACTGTAGACAGAGAGAGGGGAGAGCTGTGCTCTTCCTCTCTCACCTGTCACAGGAGTTCCAGCACAGTACTGTGCTAGAACTTCTGTATTGGAGGTGACAGGGTCAATAAAGAGAACCTGTCACCTCCAATTGCTATCACACAGGGGATTGTTTTCTCCTGTGTGATAGCAATAAAGTTAGGTGGGGAAAAAAATGTATTTAAAAAAATTCAATACATACAAATAAAAAAATAAAAAGGTGATTAAAAAGTAAAAATAATAAGAAACAAAATATTAAAAAATAAGAAAATAATTATAAAAAATAAACAATAATAAGATTAAAAATTATAAAAAAAGTAAATAATATAAATAAAAATCTAGAAATAAAAATTGATAAAAAATAATGAAATAAATAAAAATGTAAAAAATAAGAAGAAATAATTAAATAAAAAGTGATAAAAGTTAAGAAAAAAATAAAGAAACAGTAAAAAAAATTTACACTAACCCCGCCGCCCTGCCATCTGGTTTCTTTTTTTTTTTTTCCTCTTTTCTCCAGGCCTTTTAGGTTTTGAAGTCTACCCTAATGTATAATACTTCATGTTTTTTTGAACAGATAGGGCTTTAATTTGGCTGCAAATTTGGATAGATATACATTTATTTCTTTGGTTTTTATTGGAAACAAATAGTAAAAGAAATGCATTTACCTGTGATTTTTCCCTTTGCAACATTTGCGTATATGTGCACACTCCCATATATTTACCCCAAAATATAACCAACAAAGTCTGGTGATTAAAATTATATTACATTAGTGCAACTTTAACGCAATGACAACCTGTTGACTTACATGAGCATTTAATGCTTGTTCATTG